ATATATATATATATATATATATATATATATATATATATATATATATATATTAGCAAGAGCCACATGAACAGTTTTTGCTTCTGATTGGTTGGAATTTTGTTTTCTATTTTTCTTTGGTGATTCTCTTTTTATTTGACGAAATTTTTTTTAATGGTCAATGTATGGATTATTTTTTTAAGACAAAATTTCACGATTGGTCCATGTGGTTTACACAATATCGCACTTTGAGGACTTTCTAGCAAAAAGTCACGCGGATGGTCCTTAAGGTTTCATTTAATTGCGCGATTGGTCCTTGACCCTAACCCCGTCATTTTTGAGCCGTTAGTGAAGGGGTAAATTTGTCTTTTCATCTTGTTGTGCATCAGAGTATATAATTTAAGGTCCGCCTTTGTATCCTTCTACTTCTCGTTCCTTGCCTCTGTTCTTCCCTCCCTACTCACATTCTATTCCAAAATTGAAGAAGATGGTGATATGCCACTGTGGAAGGCCGGCGATTTTGGTGACATCGTGGACTGACTTGAACCCAGGTCGTCGATTTTGGTCATGCTCAAGGTTAGGAGGAACATGCAGCTTTTTTGGATGGTTCGACCCTCCCATGTGCCCTAGGTCAACTGTTGTGATTCCAGGGTTGTTGCGTGGAAGAAACAATCTCGAAGCAAGATTGATGATGGTGAAATGGCTACTTTGTCTGAGTTGGTTGTTTTTCATGGTGTGTTACCTTTTCAAGTAAAAAATCAAGAAGCATTTGGGGGGGGGGGGGGGGGAATCTATAACTTGGAATCTGTCTTTTGGTCCCATTTTTCATAGCTTTTGAAGGATTTTCCCTATGATTGTATGTAATGTTGGGACAAGAAAATGTAACAGATATAATATGTAATGTAAGTTTGATGTTTTGTTTTAATGTGATGGATATTATATTAGCAAGGAAGGAAATTGTCAATTTGATTGCATGTAAGTGTAATGTTGATTATTAAAGTGCAGTAACATAGCCAAAAAACTAATTACCAAAGTAGCATTACCATTAACCATAATGCATGTAAGTGTAATATCATGTTACAAACATAGAATACCCAAAAGACCTATCAAAAGTAGTTGTTTTGACTGACATACCATAACCAAACTTAGTAAACATGTTCTAACTTTAATTAGACATAATAGCAAAAGATTACTTAGAAATACAAACTAAGCTACAACATGTTTTCCCTTCTTTTGTCCACCCCCTATCCAGCTTCACTAGGACCTCCCTGCCCCTTGCAAGTCCTAGCATTGTGACCTTTGTTGTGGCATTTGCTACAAGTGACTGTCAAGTGTTTCCTACTTAACTTGGTACTTTGAGTTGGCTCATCAACTGCCCTCTTCCTTTTTTTCTTTGGCCTACCAACCTATAAACAAATTCATATGGTTACATATTAACAAGTTTATTAAATAGTTTCAAGTTAAATTAAACAAAACATGTATGACAACAAACCTGTTTGTGATGTTTGGGTGGGAGAAGGGTTGTTGGACAATCAGATCTAGGCCACATGCTCCTTCCATTTATTGGGTCAATTGTGTGTTGGTACATAGCATTCCATGTACTGAGCCAGTAACATTTGCTCACCCAAGCCTCAGGATCTCCACATTCTGACCCATTCTGCATCTTATCATACATTGCAGCAATAGCATGCTGGCATGGAATACCTGTAATGTCCCATTTCCTGCAAGTGCAACTCCTCTCTTTCAAATTCACAACATACTGCTCCATCCATAGACCAGTCACTTGATATTTATCAGCTCCATTAAATAGAACCCTCATCTTACTTGCCTCTGTCTTATTGTTTTCTAAGATTGTTGTTGCAGTTGTACTTAGAGAACCTTTGCATTTGTCTAGCACCTTATGAACATTTACTATTCTCTTTGTGAGGTATTCTCTAATATATTCCAAACAAGTGATTATAGGCTTGTCCCTTGCCTCATCTAGCTTGGAGTTAAATACCTCACACAAGTTATTTGTTAAACTATCAGTCAATGCCCTTCCTATATATAAAACCAAACAATTAATTACTGAAATCAGTTATGAAATATGTTAGTGAAAAGAGTATGATACTTACCAGAGAAATGGGATCTTGCCCAGTGTTTTGCAGGAATTTTACTTAAACACTCATGTGCTTCTGGGTTAAGCTTTTTCAGTTTCTCCATAGCCCTATTAAATTTTGGTATGTTGTATACTTTTCCACAACACCATACTGCTTCCCTCAATTCATCTCCTTTGTGTTTCAATTTCATGTTGTGATACACATGTCTTAAACAGAACCTTTGCTCAGCTGATGGAAATAACTTCTCTATTGCAGCCAAGATTCCCTGTGAGTACAATTAAAATAAGTTAGTAAATGAAATAATAAAAAAAAGTAAAAGTGAATAAAAAGTTAGAGGGTACCTTTTGCCGATCTGAAATGAAAGTGAAGTTAGATGAAGAATTCAAATCTAAGTCATCACCCAAGTGTTCCAAAAACCATGTCCAAGAGTTAATATTTTCAGTCTCTACAATGGCATATGCAACTGGGTAAATGCCATTGTTCGAATCAAGCCCAACTGCAGTAAGAATTTGTCCTGGAAAGGGACCCTTCAAAAACGTACCATCAAATCCAAGAAAATCCCTCAAACCTTTTTTAAATCCCTCCTTCAATGGACCTAAGCATATATATATCCGTTTGAAGATCCTTGTCTCAGAAGACACATTGGGTTCAGTTTCGACATCTATCTTCACAGTTGTTCCTGGATTCTTTGACTTCAATTCCATGGCATATTCTCTCAAAACACCGTACTGCTTTTCATAATCACCATAAACATATTGTTTTGCCATAGCTTTGGCCCGAAATACTTTCATCTTTGATATTGAAAGTGAATACCTCTGTACTAACTCCTCTTGTAAAGCACGTGTAGGGATCTTGGGGTTACTTTCAACTTGATGCAATATGTTGTTAGCTAGAAACTTAGATGAACAAGCCCTCACTGTCCTTGTTTGCAAACAAGAATGAGAATCTTCGTATGTTTTGACAGTCCAAAGTTGTTTCTCATCTGCCCTAGATATAAAAAGAACCCATGGACAAGTTGTTTTCTTGGAAAGTACTAAATTGCCCCTATCTTTATTACTGTCACCAGTCAATTCAGGAACAATACCCCTACACTTTACCCTAACTCTTGTCTTGTCATTCTTTACATAATGTAGATCCCTCCTTTCTTTTACAGAGTAGTTGGCAATAACTTCTCTTATTTTTTCCTTTTCCTTGAACGTCTGACCAATCTTAAAAGCTTTAGTGTGAACCTCACCAGATGAACAAGCAACTGGTTTTAGAATGGACCTTAACAATTTCTTCCTAGGCTCTTTTTCACTAGCAAATGACTCAAATACATCATTGTCTAAGACTTCTAAACGTTCATCTTCAATGTCTTCCTTTTCCTTAGTATTATTGTTTGTCGGATCAAGCTGGCCCAAGTCAATGTCTTCATCAAGTACACTACAGAAGTTGATCATGTTCACCTCCACATCATCTATCAAAGGTTCCTCATCAAACACTATTTTTTTGCATCATGCTGACTATCAAAATCACTTTCATCTGCACTATCCTCACAATCATATTCATCATCTACAACTGGATCATTATTCATAACTGGCTCATCATATTGGTCATCTATGATTGGCACATCATTCATAACAGGTACATCATTCATAACTGGTTCATCATTCAAATCTGGTTCATCATTCATAACTGGTTCATCATTCAAAACTGGCTCATCAGTCATAACTGGCTCATCATCCATAACTGGCTCACTATCCTGTATCACTTGTGAAGGTCCATCAAATGTTCCATATGGCACAATGGACTGGGAGTAGTCTAATTTTTTCCTAGAAGACCCAACAACTTTTCCCTTCTTTTGGTTCCTATCTAGTTCAGGGGATACATCAGTAACCAACTCCTCAATAATAACCTTGGTGGGGGACAAAAAATAACTGTTAACCCTTGTATGCCCATGCTCTATGTAGATACTTAAAAGGTTATTTTTTTCCACATAATTTGACAATACATGCACATCCCCATCATTTCCTAGAGGTAACAGACCAAAGTCCAACTCTACTTCTGGAATAAGAAAATGATAATACAAAGTTTGCCCTTCTACGTACCCTATTTCTCGAACCATTGTATCCAACTCATGCACAGAGAATACGTCAATATCTACGAAGTCAACATAGTCTATTGTTCCATCTACGTACCTTCTCCCAGGGCTTTTCGTGAATATCCCACCATGATGGATTTTCAGAGTGAAATAGTTGCTTATTCCCTCTGAAATAAAGAATAACAAAAAAAATTTCAACAATTTGGGCATAATATCAAATCGAGAAAATCAAAGATCACTTTAGTAAGTCACTTACGGTATATCCTTTCCAAATCATAATTTGATGCTTTAGTGTGTTTGGAACGAAGTGACCATAACGTTAACACCATTATCGTTTTCAATCGACAGATGATCCTCTGCCTTGTGTTCTGTTGGAGAAGACGAAGATGAATGCGAAAGGGTAATGGGTAGCTGAGGAAGATGATCTTTGTACTTAATTACAGAGTTCATGCGTATATGTGCATAATGATCGATTATTAGAGTGACTGCAAGATGAAAAGACAAATTTACCCCTTCACTAACGGCTCAAAAATGACGGGGTTAGGGTCAAGGACCAATCGCGCAATTAAATGAAACCTTAAGGACCATTCGCGTGACTTTTTGCTAGAAAGTCCTCAAAGTGCGATATTATGTAAACCACAGGGACCAATCGTGAAATTTTGTCTTTTTTTAATGTCTGGATTATTGTTTGAACACGTGTTATTTTTTGCTAGAAAGTCCTCAAAGTACGATATTGTGTAAACCACATGAACCAATCGTGAAATTTTGTCTTTTTTTAATGTCTGGATTATTGTTTGAACACGTATTGTGTTACGTTTTTTTTTCTCTACGCACGGCTTTAACACATGTTCCTCATCTTTTTTCGTCATCTACTCACCGCCTCCACCTTCCAATTACCTTCCACCGCTTCAGATCCAAGATTTTGGACTATCTTCCTGTCGACTAACAATAACAAAACCAAAGGCATTCTCTATCTTCATTTTTTTTCCGAAGACGGACCTCCCTTCAAACTAGAAGCCGATTTGTTCTTCAGCTGGAGAAGAAGCCCAACTGTACATCCCCACCGATATCGGCGATTTCTCGCTCTAGTAGATCAGTCTCCCTGGTTATGCTCCCACCTCCTTGTTTTCTCTACTGTTGAACTGCTTTTGTGATGACCCACGAAGGAGGCGACATCGAATAGTCGACTGATTGCCACGGAGCCATCCGTTCTTCCCAGTTCGATTAGGGTTCTGATTCCTTGGGTTTCCTTCAGCTGTAGTACGGAGTCGTCTTCGATCTCTTTCTATCCAACACTGAAATTTTTGCTTTTTATTACATTTTTGATTGGTAGGGACCAATACGTGAATCAGCGAGAATCCAATCTCCTTTCTTCATTCCACAACCTAGAAATCACAAGGGTATGTTTCCTTCTTTCAGTATCTTCTGTCCTAAATCATGGTATGGTTATGGACCCGATTTTTCACGCCATTGTCGATTAATAAATTGTATCGGCTGTTATTATCTTACTTACTTGAACGATTTCATGCCCTAAACCTCTAAACCTCTAGAATTGTGGTAATTTGTCGAACTTTTGTTTAATGTTTAATCTGATTTGATTGATCTATGCAATGTTTTATTGGATCGAAGAAAAGTGGGAAAGGAAAGAGACCTAGAAAGGTTGGAAATAGATTCTGGAAGAGTGTCGGTCTTCAATTCAAAGACACCAAGAGAAGCTATCAAAGGAAGGTGACCATGTCATTATTGGTCAATACAAGTTTGTTTTTATAAAAATATATCTTTCATTGATTTCATTAATGCTTTTATTTGTTCCTATGATAGCTTTGTGATTTGAAAAACTACCTATCTACATTAATCTCATTCAAAGGTGACAAAATTTACTAATATCGTATGGAAGATTAATTACATACAATGCCTTCATTTAAAAAAACAGCAGCAAAATGTTGTAATTGGAAGAAATACCAAATGAAAATTTGTTGATGAACCTTGCATTTAATCTTTAATTTTAAAATCGCAAGAAATGAAGGATGCATGTAAAAGTAGCCAAATTTTGTAAAGAGCAACAGAATTTGGAGCCAAATTTTATATATAAAAAAAAAGTGTTACATTTACTGCAGGATACATAGGAACAATAGCCATTATTGTGTTATCAAATGTTACAATACTTTCACAAAAGCTAAAATACACCTAAATCTCATAAGTTTGTTTCTACCTCTCAATTATTCAAAATCCTTTTTGTTTTATTAGCTTTTCTACTATCATTCTCTTTCTATTTCTATATATAACTGTTCATATACAATGTCATTAGAGAACCTTGGTTAAGTGGTTACCATGATAAAATTTCTCCTTTTCAGGAGGACTAAATCGTCATTCTACCATTCCAAATTCATCATTTAATAAAGTAAGTTTTTAACTAATCTTATTAGTTATCATCTCACCCACACCCCTCCTCCATTTGACTTTTTGAGGTAAACTTGATATAACTACTTAATTGAGAAAGCCACAAAAATGGTCAACTCTCATTTGCTAAACAAATACAATTTTACTCTGTTAATTATGTATTTATTATGTCCATTTCTTTATAATTCCTTAAATTATTACACTTGGGATGGGTATTAGAGAAGTCATCATAAACGACAACATGGATTGAAGATTTTTCTACGATGTAGCAAATCATTCATAAAAAATAACATACAATGTGGACGGAATCATTTTAAATCTATGATGCCTATTAGACCAATGAATAAGTTATTCTTATATGAGCCAAATGAAAAAAAGTGAATAATACGTAATGGAATATAACGAAAGTGGAGGAGCTTCTTAATTTGTATTTGTAGTCTTCAGGTTTAGTGTAATTCTTTTTCGAGTACAACTTGGTGAAATTGTATACTTTTATGGCTTTGTTAAAATACATTATTGACATGCTATCGCTGGCATCAAGAGATGAACTAAATGGATAGAGATGGAATTCACCCGTCTGTAGATAGGTGTAAGAGCTTCTAAGCAGATCCTTTTGACATTTAGACATACAAAATATGGGGGTTTTGCTTTTGATTCAATAAGTTGAACAAAGATTATGATTTTTCACACTTAATCCAATTTTATTGGTATATAATAAATTGTATTTGCTGTTATGAGCGTGAAATTGGAATGGATGCTTTGGTTTATTGTTGTTATCTTCATATAAAACATGAATTTCGATATATATAATAATTTGGAACCATGCAGGTTGAATCTGATGACTACATGGCAATAAATTTTCAGTCCGATGCAATGTAATGATTTTCAAAAAACATTGTTACGTGAACTTTTTGTATTTGGTCCAACCTTGCAAAGTGGGTTCTTCCCTAGTTAAATACTAATATTTAATAATTTTGGATAACTTATAAATAAAATTACCTATTTTTAATAAAGAAAAAATTATATTATTATTAAAATATTCTAACGTACCTTATAAAAAATTAAGAGTCAAAACGAGTAATGTCACGTGCATCCCTCATCTCTACATAAATCTGCCCATCCCTAGTCCCGTGTTTAAGAACGTTATGCTTTGAACCTTTTATCTCATTTGTATAACTTTAAACACTAAATATTTTGCCGACCAAACATCCCATAATAATAGTTGCTCATACCACCTTCAACTACAAAGAACGGTCCCCACGGAATCAAAAAACAACCTACAAACAATACAATTATATATTGTTGAGTAAATTATAAGAATGGTTAGGAGTAGTTTGTATGATGGGTCTATTAGTTATTATTATTATTATTTTTTAATTCTTGTGATAGTATTTTGTTTATGTTTTGAACTAGTTTATAACCCGTGAAACCACGACTACAAAATTAATTAAACTTTAATAGTTAGAACACAAAATTATTAATCTATTATAATAGTTAATTTAAATAAATATGTGAAATTACATCACCTTATAATTTATATTAATTTTATTTTAATTTTTATTGCATTGTTATTAATTTATTGTAATTAAAGTGAAAATTTTAAAATTTGAAATAGATAATTAATAGGTTGACAAGTGACATGTATTAATTAAGAGGTTTAATAGGGTGGTACATGGCAAAAAAGAATAAAATATGTATTGATTAGAAGACCTAATATGATGATACATATCAAAAGGAAATTAAAACTATTCTTTTATTAGAATAGAGATTTGTTCCTCGGCCGATTTAATTGAATATTTTTGCCATAATACACTTAATGATTTTTTTATTTAACATACATGTGATTATTACTACATATATATCTTAAATTTTTAGTAATTGTTCACTAAGTGAGATAATTGTGTGTATTTCAGTTTTTACGTATTCACTTGTATCTAATTTTGTTATATATTTCAATCAAATTATGATTTAACTTATGATTTTGACATATATAATTTTCCTAAAATTATTTCTACATGAAGTACCGAATCCGAGTACTCCCCGAGGACTCCTGAGTACTCGCTACTCCCCAGTCGGCTGAGCAGGTACCGAGCAGCAAGTTCTACAACCTTGCCCACGACTCCTCCCTTCCCTCTCTTCCATCAATGCCACTACCACACATCCCTTTTTCCATGCCTCATATTAACCGCCCATTTACACCTCGTCATTCCTATGCCATCACTACTATCTACATTGACCCTACCTCATTTCTTTAATCTTCGTCGAATTCACTCTCTCTTTTGGCAATCCAACGATCCCCGCAAACCCTTCATCCCCTTCAATATAAAAGTTTATTCCTAACCCTAGATCCACCCATCCACCCCAATATCTCTTTCTAGCTCCTTCCACACCCATTTTGCCCATTCAACAACTACTATAAATGAGGTCAGTGACCACCAGGCACCGACCCCAACCCCGCCCACTGTCTTCATTTCTTCCAATTGTTGCCATCTTCATTTCGAACCTCGTCGACATGTTATAAATAATTGAATACATAAAGTAATGTTTCTTTCATGACAAATTGTATCATGATAATATAACACTTGTTTTTTCTAACATGTAGTGTTCTTTTTACAAGGGGTATTACTTGTTAATTGCACAGGTTGGGTTGTTGGGCTCTATAGTGTTGTGTTAATTTTGTATTGTATTATTATAGTCCATTATAACGGGTTGGGCCTGTCCACCAGGTTTCTTTATTGTACTAGGGTTAGGGTATTTATAGTGCATGCATGCACCGCGTTTTGTATCGATCTTCTTGTATATCTACATTGCCTTTACAGTAGCAGTTCTTAATCGAGTTCTTCTAAGGTAGTGTTTGTTAATCAGTCAGCAGAACTTTGATCTCCATTCTTGTGTTTGATTATTTTACATGTTTGACTCTATTGATTTTATTAGTTTTAATCTTATCAATTGGTATCAAAACAAGGGACTGTGTAATATATACACATCTCTTCTGTTAAAGAGCTATTAGGGTTTCCACTTTTATTGGATGTATTCTCTACCATCTTCATTGTTTTTAACGACTATTGACGTTGGATCTAGATCTTGATTCTACCCTAAACTCGATTTTAGTTTCACATATCTGGTTCATTACATGTTTTTATTGAATTGACATCATGCATTCAAAAGATTCTCATACTCTTTCATTCAACCTATCCAACAATATTTGTTCTACAACAAGAATCCCGATTCTTTTTCCATATGAATATAAGGTGTGGGCGCTACACTTTTAGGATTACGTTCTAGGGTTTGAAGATAATGTTTCCCTGATATGGCAAGCCATGACTGCTCAGATGTTTGCTCATATTGGTACAAAAAGAGTTATTAAAACTCAAGTTGATTATAACAAACTTCTTCTCAAGGTTACAGATGTCCCACAAGACGAAAAAGAAAAGCTAATCAGTAATGTAAAGGCGATGAGGAAAATCAGATTCGCTCTGCCTCCAGACACCTTTCATCTTGTGAGTGCCTGTGAGACAACAAAACATATATGAGATAGGCTAAAAGAACTCTAGTCTAGTGATGCTGATCTTGAGTATTCCATTCAAACGCTACTTCTCTCGGATTTTGGAGCCTCTGTCTATAAGCTTGAGGAGAAACTTGACCAAACGTTCAACCAACACAATCATCTTTTTAGCAGGATTGTGAAAAATAAGATTGGACACGAACTAATTGAACAAAAGGTCACATTCATGAACGGTTTGAAGTCGTAATGGAAAGTCGTGGTGTCAATGGTTAAAGCACATGAGCAATTTAAAACCTACTCTTTAGCGAAGCTTGTGGGAATTCTTAGGTATCATGAGGACAAAATTACAAAAGAAGTGAAGATTGCTTCTGGGATGAGTTCTTTGGCATTAGTCACAAAGAACAAACAGGTTCTAGAAGAAGAAGGTTCGGAGACGAACCTCTCAAATTGTGAACTCTCAAAGGAGGAATATGCATTGATGGTGTTAAACCCTAGGAATTTCGCCACAAACAAATTTGGTCGCAACAAAAACATACACTATAAAGGAAGTTACAGCTCAGAAAAGATGAAAGGTGAGAGTGTCAACAACTCTCAAAAGGAAGAACTGAAGAAAGATAGCAAGCTGGTGGGAGATTCTGAATATGACTGTAATTACTGTCATGGAAAGAATCATTTCGCAAAAGAGTGTATGTTGAAAAGGCTCAACGAGAAGAAGGATGAAGGAGAAGAAAAAGATGAAGCTTACCATCTTCGGAAGATAGAAGAGCTCAAGAAAAAGAAGAATGTTGATAACGCTAAACCTGCTTTGATTGTGCAGCAAAATGATGGTGATTTTGGAAGCGTTGAAGTCTGGTCAACTGTGACATCCTCATTTTCACGCCCAGAAAAGACCGATTTTGTTTATGCTTTATAAAAAATTAGAGTACTTCTTTTAATAAAAATGTTGTGAAATTTGTTCCAAGTAAAACATGCTAAAAACGTTATCAAAGCGTTTTCGAAGAAATGTATTTTTATTCATTTAAAAACATTTGGGATGTCATCGTCAATATAAAAACATAAGCATAAACAAGACTTATATTCATTATCACTAGTGATTTATATCTCATTTAATCTCTCATTGTAATGTGACTTCATATCAACACCTGTGATATAAATAAACTGAGTGGGTCAGGTTGGGAAACCTGGTGAGTACATAGGGTTTTCAACCCACAATAATATAATTATTATGTTTAAACATTTAGACAATCAGCCCAATTACCTATTCCCATTATCTTCTTTATTCTACCCTAAGAATTCAGCTATTCCTCGTTCATTTATTCCTAAGGGTTATCCTAAGGAATATGTACGAAATCCATCGTTGCCAAGGTTTACTCAATAGGTACTAAATCCATAGTTACCAAGGTTTATCTTGTTTATTGACAGTATCATTTCCGAGACTCCTCTCGCAATACAAGTCAA